TCATTGAAAATAATTTTCTATTTTCTGTAACAGGCTAGAGAAACATATTTTCAATGAAGAATTCACCATGTATAAACATTCCTCCATTCGTATCCTGATGACATGCAGGGAGATATAATTAAAGATGGCATAAATCATTTCATCATTGAGAAGAAGGAAATTATAAAGAGGAAGACCACAGAAGGCAGCCAATGCAGTATTGGACTAAACTGTATCTGGGGGTTGGGAGCAGAAAAGAGCACATTAATCATTGACGTTATAGGTATACCTTAGAATCAGGAAAATAGTTTAACTATATTATATTCTACTATTGTATACTAATATTCAACTCACTGCCGTGGAGTCAATGCCAACTCATAGCAACTCTACAGGACAAGGTGGAATTGTCCCTGTGGGTTTCTGACCCTGTAACTCTTTACAGGAGTAGAAAGCCCCCTCTTTTTTCCTGGGAGAGGCTGGTGGTTTCAAACTATTGACCTTGAGGGCAGCAGCCCAACTTGTAATCACCATGCTACCAGGTGTCTCTAATAATGCTCACAGACAATTTATGCCAATGTGACCCATGCACACTACTGCACATTCATGGACGTAAAATTCCGCGTGGAAATACAAAGTGCCCCAGCATAGCCAGCGAATGCCAAGAAGTGAAAGCTTACAGCAGAGATCCTCAAACTTTTAAAACCGGGGGCCAGTTCACTGTCCCTCAGACCATTGGAGGGCCGGATGATAGCTTTAAAAACATCTATGACCAAATTCCTACGCACACTGCACATATTTTATTTTGAAGTAAAAAAAACAAACAGGGCAAAAACACCTGGCGGGCCGGATAAATGTCCTCAGCGGGCCGCATGTGACCCGCGGGCCATAGTTTGAGGACGGCTGGCTTACAGTATCCCTGGGCCACCAAAAGTGAAGACCTTGATTATGCTGGGCAGGTTCCCAACTCTGTCAGGGCAATTTCAGGGTTATTTCTATCATTTCTCTCCTCACTCCCCTTCATTGAGTTCTGCTGAAGTCTGGTAATAGAACTAGCAGTAGCCAGCATGTAGAACCAATTCATGTATACACACACACACACACAGCTGTCAGCTTGTTACACTGTGGTGGCTTGATGCTAGGATGCTGGGAGCTATGCCACAGGTATTTCAAATAACAGCCCATGGTGGACAGGTGTCAGCAAAGCTTCCTAACTGAGACAGACTAGGCAGAAAAGCCTGGCATTATACTTCCAAAAATTAGCCAATGAAAGCCCTATGGATAACAAGAGGATACTGTCCAACATAATGCTGGAAGATGAGCCCTCTCGGCACTGGAGACACACCGCGGGCGGGAGCAACAATGCAGCAATGCCAACAGGACACCAACAGTCGCAAGGAAGACACAGGATTGGGCAGTCTTCCATTCTGGTGAGACACGAGAAGGCAACAAATCAGAGCTGACTCGACTACCGTTAAGAGCCACGTACAAGAAAAGAACTCATGACCACCACGAGAAACGAACTGATTAATGAAATTTGGATCCACAAAGAAGGGAAGGAAGGCAGGAAGGAGTGGTGGAGTGTAAGGAGAGGGAAAACAAAAACCCATCAAAAGCAGACTGCACCCTGCCCTCACCCCCCCACCCCAATCCCACCCCTCCCTACACTACTGGGACTTGACTAAACTACTTCCACGGCCAGGAGACAGTGCAGGAAGGCAGTGGCCGTGGAGAGCCACTGAGAGATTCCGCCACATTAAAACCCAGCAGGATAGAATAAAGCTGGGTTTGAGGGCTAGTTGGAAATGGGAACTTCAATAACTGCATTAAAAGAAAATAAAGCAGTGGGGGGAGTGTCCTCCCCTAATTAATCATTCAGTGGGCTAGGAATGTGTTTTGAAGACAAAGGGGGGTTTGGTGGGGGCAGTAAACAGAAACCAACTGTTTTCAAATGTATGCCAATATTCAGAACAGCAAAGGGGGAGGGAGGGGTTGGTTTGATAAGAGCAGCATAAATAATTCTTAAAGAATTGCCAAAACACAACAGGCACAATGATGCTTAGATCTTGATGATGCTGGATTTTCTTTTTTAATAAAAAATTATAAAGTCGGGTGAGTACATTTATTTCAAAAGAAGGGTCCATTGGTATTTTAGACTGCAGAAGGCCAACTGAGTCTCTTGCTGATGGGGGGGGGGGGTCACCTTGCACAAGACTAAAACCAAAATCTTAGCTCACTTACATTCTGAAAGCCCGTGTATGTTCACTATCATTTCAGCTCACACAAACTTCTGATTGTTCAAAGATACGCGGAGGAGCTGTGTAAGTCGGCGAGTCGTCCGCAGTGCAGTGATTCTCACTTTATTTCCATTAAAACCACCTCACTAGATAAAGATGGGGGACTGGGTGGAACCCCTCATGTTGACTAGGAGTGCTAAGGAATCCTGAAATTGCCACAATGAGTTACAGTTCAGGTGAACATTCTGGTGAACAGAAACACTTCATATTTCTTAGGACAATGCTGAGTGGTCGACGGTTCTTAACCACCAACAGTGAAAGCTACCGAAACCTGGGTGGGTTAGCAACGGGTATTTCCAGGGCTCCGCCATAAAGTCCCAGTGAAAAATGTCCGGGAGCTGGTCCATTAAGTCCCCTGAAGATCTTTAACTTTTATATCCTTAGCAAGTAGCACACTCTGATGGTGCAGTGGGTTATGCGTTGACAACAAGGTCAGTAGTTCAAAGCTACCAGCTTCTCCACGGGAAAAGGATGAGGTTGTCTACTTCTGTGAAGATTCAAAGTTTCAGAAACCCAAGGGGACAGTTTTATCCCATCCTATAGGGTCTGAGTCAGAATCAACTAGATGCCAGTGAGTTTGGAGTTTGGAACCTACCTCAAAGAAACCCAGATGAAGCATCTGGCTAACCCAAAAGTAGGCAGTTTGAATCCACCAGTTTCTCTGAGGGACAAAGATGATGCACGCAGTCTGTTTCTGTACAGATTACAGCCTTAGACACGCTACGGGGCAGTTCCACTCCACCCTATAGGTCATGATGAGTTGAAATCCACTTGGCAGAGGTGAGCTTTGAATTCAAAGAATTTTGTCAGTTTGTATTCTATATAACTGACTGCCGACTCATAGCGACCCTTTAGGACAGGGCAGAACTCGTGCTGTGAGTTTCTGAGACTGTAACAGGTTACTGGAGTAGAAAGCCCCATCTGTCCCCGCCGAGCGAGAGGCTGGTTGTTTCAAACTGCAGACCTTGCAGACCGAAGCCCAGTGTGTGACCACTACACCACCTTCTTGATTTGCAGAACTTTTCCAACTTGTTTCCTTTTCAGCAGCACCCTCCACCCCACATACGACCTTCCTGGGTGTTCTGCTAGGCCGGTAGAAGAGGACAAGTGTGGACTGCCCTGCCCAGGGGGCCGCTCTGCAGATGCTGGAGGCTCTGAGGATGCTTCAAAACACCGCCCTGTTTTATGAATGTGGGAACCAAGGCCCGGAGAGCTCCAGATCCCGAGGTGAAGCCCAGACTCGGGTCCATGAACACAGCCTCTTTCCACTACCCCATAGGACCTCCATCAGGCTCCAGGCTGCAACTTCCAGTCCAGGGTCAAAAGGCCAAGATTTCTTACATGTGACTGTGCACCTTCTAGAAATACTGCACAAAGCTAAAATAGACAACTGGAAGTGTAAATATATGTAATCTGTTTCCACTTGATGAAAGCCCAATGGAAGGGCATTTTTATCAGCCCCTCCCGCTGTAGTGGTCAAAATAGCCCCCTCTGACTGCCAGCAGAGGCACACCCCACTCAGAAAGGGAAATGATCTATTTCTGGAGCAGAGATGAATGACAGGCCTTGCAGAGTATTCTAGATGTGAGGGGCAAGGAGCCCTTGGCAGCCAGGATAATAAAGGGCCTGCAGCAGAGAGTGCCACCGCCCCCCACCTCTACCCAACCCCCACCCCCCACCTCAGCTTCCCCGATGT